TTTCACTCTCAGTCCGCGACAAGGCCTGCGACAGGGCGCGACATACCCGCGACAACCCGCGCGACTGCTCGAGCCAGCAGGTGCCCATCCGTAGGACATCCTTGAACGAGAAGCCCAGGGTTTATATTTACAGGGTTCAGGGTTTAAGGCTCTCCAGTAAAATCCCTGCGGTCCCTAAACCTTTCATCCGAAACCCCAACCCTGAACCTAAACCCTTTACCCTAAACCCTTACAAAACCCAACTAAGAAAATTGGGTTCAAAGTAGCGGCGCGACAAAGGTATGAAACAACCTGCCCGCGACAAGGCTTGTAGCAGAGGGCGGGGGGGACCCCCCGCGACAACCCGAATTTTAACCCACGTTGAACGACTTCCAGCGAAGCCGCATAAAGAATGCTTGGTGGAGTCTAGTCGGCAACTAAATATGCAGAGGCCGCTGCAACGTTCCACGAAAGGTTGTGAAGTGAAGTCCGCTAGGCAGGAACAAAAAATAAAAAGCTGCAATCGAAAACAGGATCAGTGCATACAGTGCATGCTGGTTCTTTCGTCACCAAACACGGGCACCCGCAAGTCTTCTCCAGTGGGCTTGACAACCGTTCAGCCTGCAACCGCCTCGTTCAGGGAGAAGGCCACTGTTGAGAAAGCCTGCCCTCGAAAAACGATACTACAAGTCTTGCACAAGCCTGAGCAGCTTTAGCAAGCGATTCGAGGTGCGTTGGGGTTTAGCTGTGTTGACTGCCCTCAGGAAAGTTAGCCGGATATCGCCGGAGACGTTCAAGCAAGTGGCAGTGGCTGGAGCCGCACTATCCGGTTGTGCACAGCCATGCTGCTTTGTTGCTTTTTGTTTGCTTTCTGTTTGGACGCTGTGGACATTCTTGTGTCACGCCAAGGAAACGGGAGACATCCTTCTCTTCAAGTCCGAAGGTACCTTCCCGAGGCTCCCAGAGCGGGTTTATCAAGACGTCGAAATTTTAGCAATGATGACCATGCATTGCAGTTTAGTAGGTGGTGACCACAGGAACGACCAGAACCCAAACAGCCATCTCGCTTCCTTAACTGCAGAATTCTTGCGGTTTTTGAGAGGTTGATCCGTGCAGCCTCAGCTGGTACATCACGGCATGGTCGCTTCGATCACGTGGGCCGCACGGCAGGGAATTAGCAACTTTCTTCTCTGTTCAGCTCATAGATTCTTGATGATTCTTGAAGTCGTAGTACTTGAACTTCCATGGCATTCCCACATGTTTGAGGCACCCATGTAGCAGTCCGCGACACAGCGTAACCCCAAGATTCCCCACACGCCACGTGCACCGATTTTGCAGGGTCAGGCCACCGCAGGGTACGTTGTGTCACGCGTCCACATCCGCAGGTCATCCCTTGTACAGCTTGCCAAGGCGCACAAAGAGCATTCTAGGCCTGGCTGTCGGAAGGTCTCATACTCAGATTGGAGGGCGACACCATCGGCGTGCTGGAAGCGACAGGCTGTCGTGAACGGAGTTTTGACATGTATACTGAAAGTTATACATACGAATGTAAATCCTATGTGGTGAGAGTCACCGAGCTGACTTGTTGGTGGGCCCCAGCACTGAATGTGCTGAGACTGTGGTGTTGCTCTGACATGGCCAGACACCTCCCTGTAGGAAATGAAGGCGTTGGGCTCTGCACCTGGAGAACCTTTCTAGCCAACGGCTGGCAGTCTCTCGGGCAAACATGTGCTATCAATTGTCTCTGAAGTTCTGCATCTTTGAAAGTGCAATGCGAAACTCAGGAACTTGTATCCGGAGCTGGCTTTGCGTCGCCACTCGCCTCACTCGCCAGTTCTGGCTCCTGCAAATACGAATCCCAGTGGTTTTGGCTTGGCCACTGAGGCGTGCGATGCCCGCGAAACCCAGAGACACTGTCTGCTCTCCAGGCCCTTGGGTGGCACTGGGAATTCACACGAAGCCTCTAGATTCAGCAGGTGTTTGCCGTGAGGCATGGCAAGCCAGTTGCCCACTATCCATGCTCACTTTGAGCAACAAGTCTTTGTGTCAGTACCTTTTCAATGCTGAACCTGCAGAGGGGGCTGAAAAGCACGGAATTCACCGCTGGGGAGCAAGCCAGCATCTGAATGCCGCTAAATTATATATAAATTCAGGAATGGGTTGGAACCGTCATTGGCAAGCCATACAACCTCTCCGCCACTTTGATGCAAAGCTGTGCTCCGAAGGGGCTCGCCGTAGGCTGCGCAGACAGGCGACGATGCTTCGCGTTGCTTTCTTCGAGATGCGAGATGCCGCCGTTTTACTCGTGCAATGCAGCCGATGTGCTGAGGTAAGCAAGCTCCGGCACCGGGGGTCAACAGGAGGTGGACAGCAGGACTTACAGCAGGTAGTTTACACTTCTGCGTGCAGACATGCGGAGCATATTTCTTGAGACTTTGTTTCCTCCTGGGCACGCTTGTTTCCTTTTTGTGGCAGGATTTCTTCTGCTCACAATTAGTTGCCGAAGCGCTGAAAGTTCTCGGCGTCATACCTCGAGGTACCGTGGTTTCTGCTTATTGCCAGTTTGGGGGGGCAGGGGAATGGGCACTCGCTGCCAGGTTTGACGTTGTCTCGGGTGAGTATTTTGTTGTTTGCACGGACCTTTGCAGGCAGCCGTTCAAGAGTCACCCTTCCAAATTCAAACATGGTCACACGCACACATATGAATGTGGGACTCCTTCAATCGGCGTCCTGGGCTAGTTCCCATCATACTCAATCACAGACTCAGTCGATCACCCTCTCATTCTATCCCTCTCTTGTCTCTCTCTCTCTCTCTCTCTCTGTCTTTTTTTCTCTCTCTCTCTCTCTCTCTCTCTCTCTCTCTCTCTCTCTCTCTTCCTTCTTCACCTGAAAAGCCCCGAAGGTTCCCAAGGTTCCCAACCTCTCCCACGCTGGTTGCAGTGGCACACGGAGTACACTGGGGCGATCCTTCCCCTCGCTCCATGCGATTGCTCATCAAAGGTCAGAAAGACTCTGCAGAGTTTTGGCCATCGTCCTTTTCAGCCAGGAGACATTGCTGCTGTTTAGGCAGGTGTTTCAACGAAGGGTCTGAGCAAAACAAACCTTCCGCCGTTGAAAGATCTGTTTTATTGAGCCCATCCCCACCTGCAGGACCATTTTCGAGTGCACGGACCTACCTTCAAGCTCCTGCCCAGACATGCAATGAAATGCACCCTAACAACCCTGCAAATGACGAACAAGCATGGCAAAGTTAACAAAAAAGGGCTGCAAGTAATGACCTCATCCTAAAATTCAGCCGCTGCTGCTCTTCATTGCAGGTTGTTGCTGCCACCCAAGCCTCAGGCCCCTGTTTGCAAGACCTGTCTGAAAGCTCAGCCGCCTCGCTTCTGGGCCTGATTCTTTTGAAGGCGTGGCGTACATGCACCACTGAAATAGTTTGCTTCAGTTCTGCCTTCTTGTAGGCTCCTCAGCACCTGGGCTCTCGACCTGGATGTCCTTTGAAAATTAATTGCCAAATCATTCCTGGCTGAAATAGAGTGCCACTGAATACCTCCCCTTGTGTGTAGGGATAAAGTTTCAGCAGTTTCGGCAGCGGCTGTCGAGAAGGCTTTGTACATAGTCTTGTGGTGAATGAAGGGTTTCGTTTTCCTTTTGGTTTGAAGGGTCTCTTGAAACCCAGTCTGTACCCAAACTACTTGTCGGCATAAGCTTGTCTTCGGCATGTCTTGGGCTTGTTATCTCTTCTTGCTTTTGCGAAGGTAGCCTGCGTGCCAGGGTCCGGAATCCACTCCTCTGAGTAAGTTTGGCCTCCGTCCAGCTAGGCGGAAGCGAAACAAATTCACTCTGGTGGCTGCATTTTGTATTCCTTTATCTTGCTATGAACATACGGCAAAAGAACTGTGGACCACTGAGCTGCAACTGAATGGGCTGTTTGAAGCTACGGGTATTTTGAAGGTGTTCTCTTGAATTTTACGAGTCAGTGTTGTCAGTACCTTCATTTGCTTTGACTAGTATATCCTCCAAATGCGCCTTTCCATAAGTCAATTGACCGTTTCAGTCACGAGCGCAGCTCCGATATCACCTTTGAGAGTTTGCCACAGCGTGACAGCCGAGTTGTTGCATGGCGAGGAGCACACCAATACCTTGCTCTCCGGGATGCAGCCTCGACCCTGAGGATCTGACAATTGCAGCTCGTCGAAGAGTCAAGATGCAAGCCTGACTCTAGTATATAGAAAGTTTATGTGCATGCCATTTCATATGCATATATCTATGTACATCTTATAGTATGTGTATACCTGACTGTACCTGTGGCTGCCTTTCAATCTCAACTCCGGGAAAGGGAAGGCTTGCCGCTGTTCTTGCTAGAAAGATCGCTGAGTCGCTGAGCTGAGGATTTCAGTTTGGGTGATCAAGTCAATGCTAGCAGCGGCTCCGCGAAGCGTGACGCAACTGATGCTTGGCTTGACATGATTGTTTAGGGTTTAGGGTTTAGGGTTTAGGGTTTAGGGTTTAGGGTGACATGTGCCAGGTCATTTCCCAGAAGGTCCCACAGTTCACGGTATGTTTGTCCCGTGGTTTTTAGCACACAAAGCCAGACATGCCAGACTTTGTCATGCCGAGGTAAGCTTATGGTGAGGACGGCAGCCGTCGCAGCAAGATCCAAAAGTCATCCATGGTTCTAGGAAACTTTTGTATTTGAGTTGCGCCTCGGTCAGAGTGTCAGGGTGTGGGAAACCAGTTAGCAAGGGTCGAGACACTTTGGGTCGTCAAGCTTTGCGCTGGTGCCACTGGGTGCAGGCAGCTTTACCTGTTGTAGCGGACATGACGCGCATTGCTTCCATGATTTTATATCCTTTGTCGGAGCCATTGCAGGCAAGGGACTGCGTCAAGCCGTGCAAAAAAACAGATGCCAGCAGAGCATGAACTGTGAGAAGCCCTTGTCCACAGGGCCCGGGCAGGGATAGGCTTTCAGTGAGCTTGGACTGCTGGAAATGAAGAGACAGATGCTCGGATATGCTCAGGGCTGGGCAGCCGAGAAGAACCAACAAGAACAAGAGAAGACACAGGCAGATCTCCCTGCAACAACACGTGCTGTTCTACCTGTCATTCAATACCGCCGTTTCTCCGGCATCGCAACGAGCAGTTCTTGTCATCAGGAGGCCATGCATGTGCAGCGGCCTCACACCCGACAATGCCTTATGCGGACATCGGTGTCGTCGATGCCACTTTGCCAGGCAGCAGAGAGAGCTCAAAAAGAAGAGGAAGAAAAGAGGCAAGGCCAACACGAAGTGCAGATCGAGGCACACGAGAAGATCAAGAAACAGAGCATCTGTTTTGGAGGCGGCAGAAGGAGGCAAGGTACCGCGAAAAGCAACGTGAGCGACTCCAGGAATGGCCGGAGCACTCAGAGGATTTGTTAGCCTTCACTTTTATGCTGTCATTTCCAGTCCTGTGCGATCTGATAAAGATGCTCTGCTTCTTGCGTGTCCGTTGCGAGTGCTAGGCAGCGCCAAAAGATGGAGAAGCTTGAGGAGCAGAGGCTCGCAGAGGAGCAAGAAGAAGAAAAGGAGGCACAGAAGAGCCGACTTCAGGAGTTCATGTCCTTTCTGCGCACTGAAGTGCACGTTTTTGGCCGGATCCCAAACTTCCCAAACACCCAAATCCTAAATCAAATCCTAAATGTCTCTGGGCACAGGCCGCCGAAGCGGCCAGGAAGCAAAGCCGTGGCCTCAGAGTTGCTGTTCGTTGCATGTAGCGCAAGGTCTCATGCAGTATCATGTGCTAGTATATTTATGTAATATACTATGCAACAAACATCATCTATATAATGGAGAATCTCTTCTGTACTGCGCAGTATACAACATATAGCATGTAGTAGTATCTTAGGCATATTTAAAATTTTCAGTAGATGTTTAGCAGAGCCGGCCTTGTGGTTTCAGAGTTTCTGGAACAGCAGCATCCTTGCATAGACATCAGGGATGCGAAGCCTTCCTCAACAGAAATGCGGAGTGTTGAGCCTAAAGCCTCACACCCAGAGTCCTTCGAGTATTCTCTGAAATTACCATTTCCTGTCCCGTGCACTCAGCACTCCACAGCATTCCACCGCTAAGCAGCTCGCAGATGCAGTGCGTCAGGTGCTGTGCGAAGAGGGCGTGGAGCACTCGGTTGGCATCAGAGCCAGGGGAGAAGGGGGAACGACTCGACTTGATTCAGTGGGGTCCGGCCACTTGTGCGCGGAGTCTGGTCATCGGAACCCTGTGGATGGGAGGGTCAAGGATGTTGTCCCGGGTCCTGCTGTACCTCTGTGTGTCTTGCATGTTTGAGGGGTTGAAGGTTTACATGGTTTGGGCTGGCATCTGCTCCCGGGCTGTGGCCCACATGCCTGAAACTCTGGTTCTGGCCTGCATTGCCAACAGTCAACGGCTGATGCCTAAGATGCGACCGACTGCAGCCAGTTTTGGAACAACATGCAGACACAGACTCGGACATGTGACGCAGATTAAATCTGCTTGCTTGCAGAACCCTGAAGCTCCGACCCCAGCCATCAGCTCTTGAGGTTCTTGCGGGCATCAACTCACAACGCCCTCCCGAGCCAATCCCAAGCCTGGCAAATGAAGACCCGGCCAACCAAAACGATGGGAAGAGTCAAGAAAAGTGATTTACAGTTACACGTCAACGAAGTCCGGCCACACGCCGCCATGTCACACATGGCTATCCCTGCACCTTGGAAGGCAAAGCTTGGAGTGCAGGGTTGGAAGCGGAACGAAGTGCGCATGGACATATCTTAGTGGTATCTAACATACATACATGAAGACTGAGGGCTGCGTACATACATGTATAAGTATATATGTGTTTATGTGTATATGTATACATATATACATATATATATATGTATATCTATCTGTCTATACACATACATATATCTACGTATGCATCTAGTCAGACAGATATAGATATGGATGGTCGTGTGATGTCGTGAAGGTCACACATCATGGGCACTCCGTGTGCAAAGGTACGATGTGGCACCAAGCATGGCTTGCTGCTGTCCCTTTGCTCGCCGGAGTCCTGAAGTGCGCATGTTGCTTTCGAGACGGAGTGTGAAAGCCCGGGGCAAGAGTAGCAGCCATTCTTCAGGGCTTGGTACGATACGTAATACCAAGGGTCCAGGGCAGTCCAGAATATGCCGATGCCATTCTGGCACCAGGCAGGTGCTGCACTCGATGTACGGTCCATGTCCCCATGCGCGGCCTCTGTTGCCATGGTCATAGGGATGGTTACTCGCTGCGACCCTCTGCGGGCGCCGCCAATTGTGCGGAACGCGATCGGCGCTTTCCCATGTGGGTGATCCACGTGGATGATGTGTTGGAGCTGGCTGAGCTGCAGCCTCACCAACTCTTACTTGCAGCTGGAAAGCTGAGGGAGTACGAGCCCAGCGACGGGTTCGTTACTTTCGTTTCTCACGAATGGTCCGGAGTAGGCCACCCAGATCCGGAGAATCATCAGCTTCGCTCCTTGCAGCGGATGCTGAGCGCCATACGAAACAACAAGATGACTTTGGCCAGCGACTGAGTCGAGAGAAGCCCTAAACCATCCCGAAACCCAGGGCACATCGTGTGAAAGCCTCGGATGCCTGGGTGTGGTCCTCTTGGTCCTCTTCTCTCGTGTTAGGCTGGCGACACCATCTCCTTGGTTCGCTTGGGGCTGACCCGCAGCCTGTCCACAACGGATCTGAAGAAGATCTCACAAGGCAAAGAAAGGTTCAACACCCAATATCACAGCCACTTCCCAGCACTCGAAAAGAAATGTCGAAGCGGCCCTTCAACCCCTCGAAATCTCCAGGCTGGCTCTGGATCGACTTCGCCTGCGTTCCACAAGCATGCTGCTGCACCTCTGAAGCAGACCTGGCAGTACAGCAGGGACAGCTGAAGGCGGCTTTATTCTTCGGGATCGAGGGATGTCTCAGGAAGTCTAAAGATGTCTAAGAGGGTCTAAGGATGTGTAGATGTCATCTAGAATCTCGGGCCTGTGGCCCGAGTACTTTGCATGTTCGGCGCCTGCGCCTGCGCCAGGACGCTGTCATGAGCCTCCACACCTACGTCGCCCAGAGCTCCTTTTTTGCTGTTCTGGCCCCTGCACAGAATCACGAGAATGGGAGGTGCATTTCTCCCGAATTTCTTGGCATGGAGAGTTGCTCAGGGAGTGGTGGGGCGAACGTAAGTTGCTGCATCACATGTTCACCCAGAAGGAACACAACCAGCAGTCATGCACTACAACCGCTGCCTGATCCAAGTAGCTCTTGCACAGTTTCATGCGACAGGCTGATGAACTATGTTTCTTGGAAACGGAGGGGCTGGTGTCAATTTGAGCTCAGTGTCAACGTTCTGCTCGGAATCTTGGGTGCAGTTGCTGGAACTGTCTTTCTTTTCATTTCACACTTGCAGTTCGCGCTCACATGGCTTTACTGCCTGGCAAGCTTGGCCGACTTGCACATTCCCGGATCTCCGCAGCAAAGAATCCCCTGCACCCTGTGACAAGAGAGGGATTGCTTGTCAAGCCCAGGAACAAACCCTGTGCTACACATCGCCAGCGATGATATTGTTCGGCACATGCACGTGAAGGCAACTGGCCGCATCAAGTCGAATGACTGCCGCAGATGTCCGGTTCTCGTAGAGTCGTAGAGTAGAGATGCCACGGCAATTGTTGTGAGAATTCAGCTCCTAAGGTTCTCAGTCATCTCTCCCCATGCTGCGGGGACTTCACACGAGAAGAAGACCGGCAGCCACTTCGGACGCATAGCCCAGCAACACCACTCCCTACCACTCCCTAAAAGTGTGAGTCTGTGTGTGTGTGGGGAGAGAGAGAGAGAGTGCGCGCTTGTCTTGGCGAAGGGTCCGCGTTTCCCAGGTTTGTCGGCGAGGCTTTGAACCATGTGACTTGCTCGCACTGCCAAGCCAACAGTCCAAGACATGCCACAACTTTCAGCGTTTTTCCTTGTTGGCCGAGGTCATTGAGTGTCTAGCCAGTGATCTCCGCTCGTCTCGGAATCTGCACAAGCTACAGCTTCTGGACTGTATGCGGACCAAGCTGCTACAATGTCCCCAAGGAGGTCCATTTTCGAAAGTGAACGCGGCTCTGAGCTCAAGGACCACTTTTTTCCACAATATGCCGGCAAACTTGAATCGCAATGGCTGGACAAATCTGCATTACGCTGTGGCCCGCAATGACTTGTTCATGATCAACAACTTGCTAAAGTCAAAGGCGAACGTGAATGCCAAGACACGTGGGGCTGACAAAGATTTCTTTCTGCGCCCGGCACTTTCGCCCCTTCACGTTTGGCCACTCGGATCGAATTAGAGCCAGAGGCGAAAGAAGCACAGCCCATCACTGGCCCACCATTGTTCGGTCGCTCCGCCTTGTTTCATTCCCTCTTTGTGCACGAGGTCCTGCTTTGCCATCAACCCTGCCATTGCAGAAATATTGGTGGAAAATCGCGCAAACGTTGACAGCGCCGCCGATTTTGGCTGGACTCCCCTGATGTTGAGCTGTCATCAAGGAGCTTTGGGAGCCCTCACACACCTGCGCAGCCTCAGGTAGCTGTGCAGTTCTTGAATGTTACAACTGTCGGCTTCGGAGGAGGTGAACTGGCTTGTCGGACACTGCTGAGCCTAAGGGCAAGTCCAAACTCACGGCACAGCTCAGTGTCTCCGGGCATTGCTTTGCAGATGTCGTCTTTCAGTTTTGATACAGGCAAAAAAGACGAAGTAAAATCACTGAAGTACGCCTGTATAACTATGAGCTCACCTACTCACCTACATGCCCACCCAAAGACTCCGATGTGCTCTCAGGATTCCTCCGCTCTTTCTCGCAGCTTCGGAAGATCAGCTGCCGGTGGTCGAACTTCTACTGGACGCCCAGGCAGATGTGAACGTTCGATGGGCCGGCATGAGCTGCTTGCTTCAACTTGTGAGGGCTTTGGAAAAACAAAACTGGCGGAGTTGGCTTCCAGCTGCTTGTGGTTTTAGTTGCTGGTGTTGCGAGCTTGTGAGCTGCGAAACAGATGCAGAGAACACTTCATGCTCAGGTGCACTGCATGTGATGGCTGCTATGAGCACTATGTTGACTTTGCCGCCGTGGGCCCAGCTGGGCGGCAGGTAGGTCCCCTCACAACTCAATAACCGACCCTAAGGAAACACATCCTACATGAAAGCAGAGCAATCTGCCCTTGAACGGCACTAGATAGAAGGATCGACCTGAGGACGGGGGGATGGCCTCGGAACCTCAGCCCGAAGAAACGTTGGCTCCCGCACATGTCAAGCTCAATGTCAGCTTTCAGTAAGGAGATTTCTGGAAGCTGGGCTTGACCTCAACGAGACCTGCAATGTCAACTTTCGCATCTAGGCAATGGCTAGGATTCGATGAATTGTGTCGAGCTTCTGTCAATTGCCCGCACCGTTTGAACATGCTGCCTAACCTGACATCAATGTGCCTCTTCCGAAAAGGCATAGCTCCTGCAATTTTAAGTGAGAAAAGCGTCCAAGGAACTCGGTCAGGCTTCCTGATGGCCTTTAGTTGCCTGGCAGCATTCTTCAAGACGGTTTCTCCACAAAACCCCAAGCGACAGCCTTTTACTGCAGAGCTCATGGTACCTGAGGCGCTCTTTGGGACCGAGATGTGCGTCGGGACATGCCGAAGGTACGTGGCGGCACACCGCTGGTCTTCGCCGCAGCGCGAGGGAACACAGCAGCCCTGACTGTGTCATTTGGCAGCAACATGAAGGAACAGTTAAGCAAGCGGCTGGAATTCTACGAACTCGTCACCTGCCGTTGGTCATTCCAGAAGAACCCTGTCCCCTCACGGAAGACCATTAGGTTGCTGGAAGCGGGTGCGGACACCACGATTCCAAACAGACAGGGCAAGTTGGTGCAAGAAGTGCACCTCGGCGACCGTTTGCAGGTGAAAGTCTCCACTGCTGCCTGCTCAGAGCCATAGATGTTTCCCAGCATGGCCTGGCAGCCTCAAAGTACATTCAGCACCAGTGCCGACATCACCAAGGTATGAAGAATCCAAATTTAATTCGCTCATGCCTGAGGAGGTGTGCATCAAATTGTCGTCTCACAAGTCGAACAAGCTATAGGCGCTATGTATTCCTCGA